GGTTCTGGATCAGCAAACATGGAACCTTTAAAGTTTCTGAGCATCAGGTTTATGGTTTCAATGTCACAGACGGAGGAGAGTTTTACTGTGTGGCTGCAAATAATCTGGGTAATCAGACGTCACCTGTGATCATTTTTGTTGTTGAAGGTAAATTGTTTTGTCACTTTTTTTAGATCTTTATGATTTATGTTAAACTTTTCATATAATTTAGTGTTTCCGATGTTGAAGATGAACTTCCTGTCTTTGTTCCAGTTAAACCAGTGTTTTGGTTCAGTCTTTATGTTCCACTGAGGATCCTGGGGATTGTAACACTCTGCAGTTCAGTCGTCATCTTCGAGTGGTCAGACCCTTTTCTATCTGTATCTGTTCAACAGTGATGCTGCCATGATGGTGGTAAATGTTTGATCATCATTAAYATTGTTTCTTCTTTCAGCTGCTTTAGATCAAGATTCTTCAACAAACCAAAGAAGGTAAACTACTACTGATTGTTTTTCTCTCAGAACTCTGGTTTTATTGTTGGTCTTGTGAGACTAGGAAGGAAAAAATACAAATTTATTGATTGTTTTCTGTCCACAGGCCTCAGAAGAAGCAGATTATATCAACCAAGTGATCGAGGTTCAAGCTTCTTGAGACTAAAGAAGACGAGGATGTCCTCTGTCAAGATTTGTTTTTTCTACCTGTGTCATCAGTACTCTCTGCTCTCTCTTCAGTYCAGCATTATTTGTCCTCTCTGTTCACTCGTGGCTTTTGGATTTTGTTCTGTTATTCGTTTTTTTTTATTCAGTTAATAGAGTTTGAGTTTTTGTTTTAAACTCCTTGCCTCTGTCAGCATTTGGCTCCATTCTACATAAACACCCCCCACCTCCACAGTTTTCTATATAAAACACTGTTGCTGTAATACTTTACTATTCAGTGTTTTTCTCCTGTTTAGTAACATGTTGGTTGACGTCACACCTCTGAACCAGTCTGAGTCRATCACAGAGAGGTGTTGAGAGCTGATAATCAAACTAAACGCTGAGAAAAACTAAAAACCTGAAGTAAAAACAGGATGTTAGTTGTTTCTACATCTCTCACAATGATGCTTTGTGTTTCTGTTTTTAGTCTGAAGTTTCTTCTTCATGTTCTCCACAGCTTTGTTTCTTGTGTGTTTTTGCTTTAGAAAATAAGTTTTCTTCTGTTGTTCAATTTAGCATAAAATGTGCTTAAAATTAAGATTCAGTTATTTTTAAATTGCCTCTCATACATTTAGAGAAATAATGCAAATTATGTGATTAAAGGAAATCCTAAAATAAATGTATACATTTT